TTTCTGCTGCAGATTTCCCAGATAGGCCAGTGTAATAGAGATTAATAATGCGGCTTGAAGCAGGGTGGGGGGATTTACTGGTCCCCTTCCTACAGAACAACTGCAGACCTGCCTAATAATGCCTGCTTCTAATCAGACACCACCATTAATGTCAGATTTCATTAGAATAGGAAGAGCTTACCAAGTTATGTTTAGAAAAGATGTCACTATGCCCCTCTTTCTCTCACCCCTGCATAGCCAAGATGACTGGAGGCAGGTTATCTACCGCTAGAGTTCAGCAGACAGTAAGTGTCAAACCGTTGGAAGTGCTAACGCCAGAGCTCAGCATGCAGATACTCCCATGTGCTCACATGCACTTCCAATGCTTTGGTCTGACCTGTTCATCCACCCTGGGCTGGTTACTGCAAGTTAGCAGGAAATGGAGGACAGCAGCTGAGGTTTCCATGCCTGCCAGTTTCCCATGGCAACAGTAATGGATCAGCTGTATCTCACTGAATGACACACATGGGCCCACCTGGCAAGGGGCTGCAGAGCTGCTATTTCTAGGGTGTGGAATTCAGAGTCCAGCCTTGGGCCTCCCAGCAAGGCAGAGAGTCACAAGGCCAGGCAGGGGTCATCTTTCATCCAGGCCAGCAGAGATTGCAGGAGAGTGCGTGCTGCATTCTGGACAAATCAGCTCCCTGCAGCTTCAGCATGCCTCAGTGGGGTGGACACCTTTTTAAAGCAAATAGGTGGGACTGATCTGGAAAAGTGCAGCAAGGGCCAGCTTGTGCCAGTGAGGCCATGGAGTATGTGAGGAACAACATCGTCCGACACAAAGAACCTCTGCAGTGGAGCCTGTGCAAGATCACAGGAAATCTGGTGAAGTTTTTTTAACTAAACCACTCCTGACAACACCCCTGCCTTCCACGTCCCTGGCACTTTCCCTCCCTCTGTCTCAGTGGGGAAGTAATTGACAAATGGGGTCATTGAAGCAGAGGTGTGACGTGACTTGGCCAATGTCACGCAGTTGGGCAGTGGTAGACCCCAAACTTCTGGGCCTGGACTTGCTTCATCAAGACCACAGCAGCCCCCTGACCTATTGTGTTTGGGGATTTCTTTTTAAAACAGTGTATGGAATCTGCTGGCTTGGTGAGCTAGAAAAACACACCATGCTCTGAGCAACCCTAGAGGCTCAGCTCTGAGTATTAGTCTCTTAGCCCTTGGTCCAGAAGGCCTTGGTTGAGCCACAGACACCATGTGATTTTTTTCTCAAGAGGCAGTGACTTCTACAGACTTTGAGGGAGTAGTAGATCAGGTTCCCTGGACACCACATTTTGATGGAAGGGGCTGTACAGTGAAATTCATGGGACTCCCTCACGCATGAGGAAAGCAGGTTCAGGGGAAAAAGAGGCCACAGGGGATGGTATTTTTGAGTGGGAAGAAAAAGACCCCTACAAGTTACTTACTTAAAGAAGAACCAATCCCCTAGTCACCATATTTCTAATGGCAGATGCTCTCTCTGATTTTTCATGTAGAGGTCAGGCACGTGTTCGCTCAGGTATTAGAAGAATATGGCATCAAGTACACACGTGTGCCGATAGAACCAGGCCTTCACAGCTGTGACTGGATAGAGCCACCACTGATGGATTTTTATCTGGGAGTAGAACAGGATTCCTTTAACACGGTCAATGTGTTTACAAGGCATGGAATAAGGTAAGGCAGATGCACCCCTCCCCTACAAACTGGTTCCTGGTTGTGTCTTTCCAAAGAGATTCAGGATGGCTACTGCACCAGTAGTTTTAGTTTGTAGTTTTGTTTGAAAAGGGGTGGCAGTTCTCATCTGAGAGTTTGCTCCTTTCAGAGCACCAGAGTCTGTTTCTTAGAGGGCCTTTATAATGAAGTTGCATTGGTTTCTTGCATTTAGCACAGCACAGGATGCTGGATTTTTACCAATATGAAGGTTTTAGATGGATGATTTATGTTACAGAAATAATCCTTTTACTTATTGAAGGATTCCAGAAAGGCTCTAAGTATCACTTGAGAGACTTGTTAAGAGACAAGTCTGCATTGTTACTAGAGGAAGAAGAAGATAAGTTTGCACATCAGAGCAAATGATAGTGAACTAATCAGACAATCTGACTAGCATCCTATCTCTGGCATTACTAAAACCAGGCCCTTCAGATACAAGGGCATCCTCCTCACCCTAATAAAGCACTTAAATATGCAGTGTTTTTCCAAGAAGAAATGTTTCCTTCTTGACCCTTGGAGGCAATCTTCATACACAGTGACGCATGAACTTTTATCATTCTTAAAGTCTGTTTGAATTTGTATCCTGTGGGGGTTTTTTTACTAATTTACCATATCTTGGACACCAGTTTTGTTGAGAACTCTTCCCTCCAAGCTGCATTTTGTCATCACCAAAGCAAAGCAGAAACTTGCAGATTGTACTGCAGCAATCTACCCCTCAGGGAGAGGACTAGGGAGGTGGGGAAATCACTTTGGGGTTTACCCAGAAAGTATCCTAAAATAAATCTCTCTCATAATAGACATCAAATTGAGATTAAAGGGAAAGCTGAAGAGGGAGAATCCCTGCCCTCCTCCATTCTCCTTCCATTGCATTGCAGAAGAAGACAGCTGGCATTTTCCTACCTCCGGAGGAGACTTTCGCTAACATTTTTAATCTTCTCTGGATTCAGGGGCACAGGCAGAACAAGAGGCACTGGTTTACTTCCTGAGGACACCATCTTGAATGCAGCACTAGCTTGTCACTGCTGACTTACAACCTCCACAGCACCGCATGGTGGTGGCATGCAGCACTGTAGCCTCCCACTGAGATCAGTGGGAAACCGCGTCACCTCCACTGCCTCTTTTTTTCCTCAGCTGCCCAGAGAAGGCTGAATGGGGCAAATGGTTATAGAACAAATGCACACAGCAGAAAACAGTTACAGAGAATTGGATGGAGAGTGAGTAGCTGAAGCCAAACCAGAGGCTTGTGAAGTGGACCTGTAGTAGGGCCGGCTCTTCAGAGCAGAGTTCCCTTAGTGCAGGTCTGCTCTGGACATGACTTGATAACTGAGGAGATTCTGTTTGTGGGGAAGTAATACTGCACTGTCAATTTATAGTTTCATAGTTTCATAGTTTCTAGGGTCGGAAGGGACCTGAGAAGATCATCTAGTCCGACCCCCTGCCATGGCAGGAAAGAGTACTGGGGTCAAACGACCCCAGCAAGGTGTTCATCTAACCTCTTCTTAAAACCCCCCAGGGTAGGAGCCTGCACCACCTCCCTTGGAAGTTGGTTCCAGACCCTAGCCGCCCTGACCGTGAAATAGCGCCTTCTGATGTCTAACCTAAATCTACCCTCTGCTAGCTTGTGACCGTTGTTCCTGGTCACTCCTGGCTGTGCTCGGGGGAACAGTGACTCCCCCAATGCCTTCTGATCCCCCCTGACCAGTTTGTAACAGGCCACAAGATCCCCCCTCAGCCTTCTCTTGTGGAGGCTGAACAGGTTCAGGTCCCGTAGTCTCTCTTCATAGGGCCTGCCCTGCAGTCCCCTGATCATGCGAGTGGCCCTCCTCTGGACCCTCTCGATGTTGTCCACATCCCTCTTGAAGTGCGGCGCGCAGAACTGGACGCAGTACTCCAACTGTGGCCTGACCAGTGCCGCATAAAGGGGGAGGATCACCTCTCTGGACCTGCTCGAGATGCATCTGTGGATGCATGACAAGGTACGGTTGGCCTTCCTAACTGCCTCCCCACACTGCCGGCCCATGTTCATTTTGGAGTCAATGACGACTCCAAGATCCTTTTCCGCCTCCGTGCTGACAAGAGGGGAGTTCCCCAACCTGTAGGTATGGTACCGGTTGTTCCTCCCCAGGTGCATCACCTTGCACTTGTCTGTGTTGAATTTAATCAGTTCCCAGTTTAATCCGTTCCCAGTTAAACACACATTGATTATTTCTGTCCTGCAAATGCTTCAGTTCTTCCCTGCTTCTACACCATCAGCAGGAAAATAGATGCTGTGCAACAAGGTCCCTGCTCTGTCATACACAAGTGTTGTTCCACTTCTGCCCTCATTTACATCCCTGGTTTACACAGGGACACTTCATGGGAGAATCTGGCCCTGCTGTTGGAACTTAGCAAGTAATTCTACTGAAGATGTATGAGAAGGAATGGGCTCTAGCTCACTTCCTTTGCTGTGTTGGCTCTTCAACAGCAAAAGCCAGTTGTTTTGTCCTTTGGGGAAGCAATTCTGACTCCCTATTAGGTTAAGGAATGGCAAATTTCTGTGCCAAGAGACATGATCAATAGGATGCTTATAGGGAAGCAGTTCTATTTCTGGGAAGGTTTCCATTTTACATAATCACTTTTTGGAGTAAAACCATTAGCACTAACATCAATCTTAGTAATAACCTTCACCTGTTTTGTTGATTGATTCAGTTTTAGTATATTTTTACTGAAAGTTCTATTATTTTGATATATGAGATACCATAGAGGTTCCCAAATTATCTTCATTCCTCCTTCTCCAATTATTAAGTGGGTCTGTAGCCTATGGTTCCTACCCTACAGTTGTACCATACCACATTTATATGTTCAAAATTCAAAGCAGTGGTACAGAAGTTGACTTAATCAGGACTGTCTGCAGGACTGCAAACTGCTGCGCTAAATGATGTTACTCTGTGGATGTTAATAAAATACATCAAAGTTATCCCATTCAATGTAGAGCTTTAGTTTTGATTAAATGTTTATTTCAATGTTTATAATCAAAGAGAGAATTTGAGATAAAGACTGCATTTTTTAATGTCTAATACTACAGCTGAGTTTTATGAAACATTTCAGTCCTGATCCTGGGACATTGTGACACCTTCCTGAGTTCTGTTTATTTGCACTAATTTTTGTATTTTTTCCCTTGCAGATGGCCTGACATTTACATTGGTTTGAGTACCATGGGCAAGAACATGTCTATCAATAATATTCAGTGCGCCATCAATACTGTCCTAACAGCTTTCGCTGCCAAGAAAAACCCATCTGCTGATGCCAAGCCATTTTCACATCAAGATGAACAAAGCAGAACAGTAACAATTGAGCTGATGGTACATCCAGGGTACCCCAGCATCCCTCCTGTTGGAGGTTGTGGAGAAGGACCAGATGATTTTTCACAGTCATGGGAACGCTTGCACGAACTCCAGACTTTAATGAATCCTGAGTTACAAAGCTATTACAAAACAAGAAACATTGAGCTTTGTGCATTTAAAGATCTTTAAGCAAATGAGAACATACAGATACGTTTGTACTTTGCAGACCTGTAGCTGACAGTGTATTTATTAGGAAGCTAGGCTAGTTAACACTGTTTGCATGTACTATCCTTGAAGGATGATGGGGGCTGCAAATGGACTGGCTGCAACATAATTCAGTGAGATCAGGAATGCCTAGACTCTCCAAAACACCTTCTAGCAATATCACAGAGCAGATATCTCTGTCAGCTTTTCAAGCTGCTGCAGCCAGTTTGAAAGCAGTGGATTTCTTTTGTGCACCCAGTTCATTCTATACCAAGATTTGACCTGGAAACCAAATTTCTGCAGCTATTGTGACAAATAGCACAAGCACCATGTCTACACTTCCTGAAAGATTGAGTGAACAAACAGGGATTGGTTACAATAAACAACAAGCCTGGAAAGCAAAAACCTGTGCATGACACTGCTGACCTGAAGTAAAGGCCTGGTAACTTTGACAACTTCAGTTTGTAAAGTACTTACATATATACAGATTGCCCCATTCTCTCTTCTCATAGCATCTGATGAAGTAGGTTGTTGCCTGTGAAAGCTCATGCATCTCTGAACCAGATAGTTCCTGATTTTAGACTGACAGGGCTGTGCACCTTTCTGCATTCTCCTTTCATTCTTTTACTGACACTGCCCAACCCTTTCCAATGCCTTCCATGATTAAAGAGAAGCTTTTTTTCAGACTATTTCTTCCATCAGAGTAAGTAGATTGTTTTATTAGGTTATTGACACCCTCACTTGTACCAAATATAGGTAGAATTACTGTTGCTTCTATTTAAGTTGTCTCTTGGCATTAAGCCTTCAAAAGTAACTTCAGGGATAGCATTGGATAACTTTACATGAACAGCAACTGTTGACTCATCTGCTGTTTCACAGTACTTGTTCTCTGCAGCCGTCCCCATTGAATTTTCATGAGCGATTTGCCAGGATGTCCACTTGCCAAACAGGAGGGGAGTCTGAGGTTTAGAGAAGGGAGAAGTAAAAAACAAAATGAAGGAAAAATTTGTGACAGCTATGCAGGCATTTGAATTTCAACAGCATGTACTACAGTCAAAGTTGCATAGGGATTTTAAAAAATGTAACAAACTACTGGTCTGTGACCTTCTGAACAATACTCCTTTACGTTTTGTATTTTCTATGGTTAGTTTCTGACAGAATTAAATAGTTTAATTCTAGCCTGTTTTACTCAATTGTTCCATGACTTATCAAAAAATGCACTACTTTCAAGTCTGACCATCTTCTTTCCTTTGTAATTACTCAAACATTCCAACAAGGCTTTGATATATCAGGAAATTTTAACCATTTGGAAAATAATCTGTAGAAAAAACAAAGTTTACAAGTGTTTGCTCAGACTATGGCTGCACACATTTGGCTCTGAAAAGGCAAACTTTGGCTTCTGCTAACGCACTGGAAACGTCTAATAACTATGGAAAAATATGGAATACTAACTTTTATATATTAAGCAAGTCTCAGATCGTTTCATGATATTTTTGCCAACGCTCTGCCAATACCACAGGTGTACAGTTTTCTGCCCCTGATTCTAATTACAGTCCCAAATACAGCAACGATGACCATAACGGTTGACACAAATTAACAAAAGGAACTAATTTGTAGACTATGATTTCTCCAACTTAACTTTATGGTAAAAGACTAGGCTTTCCTTTGGGCAGTAAAGTTTACAGGGTGTTCATTGCAATAAAGCTGCATAAAAGAATAGGATTGGAGGACTGCAGCTGTCAATAAGTGCAGGCCAGGTGGTAAAGCACTGTTAGAAGTTTGAGCACCACCTAGGGGTGGTGATATTTTTCATATGCAGTAACATCCCTGAAGGCAATGCAGATTATCTGAGACTGTATCTCCAATTTTATATAACGTGAGCTTGTTTTGCTAAATATTGCTTTTTTCTGTTTAAATGATCACTTATTATTCAAAGCTGTGAAGTTGCTTGATCACAGTTATCAAGACTTGCATTACTTTTTCTACGTATTGTACTTTTATCTGTGTTCGTTTTCTGCTTCCTTTACACTATGACTGAGCACTGTGAAATCTGTGCGACTGTGGCCTTACAGTAATTCAGTTTTAAACTGTGAACATTAGTGTCCATATCTTTTTAATAAACAGGACAAAGCCCAGGCTTTTAAAACCAAATGAGAGTTTAAAGCAGAAGTGGGTAAAATACTGCCCATGGGCTGGATCCAGCCTGTCAGTTGAATTTATCCAACCTGCAGATAGGCAGCACAGGTGGCAGCACTGTCCAAGCCCTGGGCAAGCCACACTCAAGCCTCCACCTCTGCAGCTCTGGCTCTAGCCTCTGCTGGTGCCACAGGGGATGCTGGGCAGAAGCAGCCTGTCTGCCTAGCACCAAAGGCCAGAGCTAGAGCTATCACCCACTAGCAGATGCAGGGGCTCAAGCATGGTTTGCCCAGGGCCTGCCCCGTGGTGCCATTTGGGTGTGTGGGATTGCTTCTGTCCAGCATCCCTTATGGTGGCTGGGAGAAGCAGCTCCTTCAGGCCCTGGGTGAACCGCACTCAATCCCTGGCCTCTGCTGGCAGGTGGTGCCCAAGGCTTGCACGACCAGACTGCAACTCCCAGGGGATGATGGGCAGAAGCAGCCCTGCCCACTTGGCAGTACATGGCACCCCACCTGGCACTGTGTGCTGTGCTCCAATTCTGGTGGCTCCAGCCATTGGGTGGATGGGCAGGGCTGCTTCTCCCCAGGAGCTCTCAGGGCCTGAGCATGTCTTGTCCATTCCCTGCCCGCAGGGGATGGACTCTGGCTGTGGTCCTTCATGCTGGCACAGCCTGCTCTGCCATCAGTGGAAGCCACAGGGTCAGGGGTTGGGTGTGCACGTGTGCCAGGAGCCCTGATGGTGAGGCAGGACAATGTGGAGACCCATAGCCAGGCTCCATACCCCACCCCTCTAGCTGCAAACGTGGTTGGCAGGTGCTAGCTCTGAGCACTGGAAGAGGGGGAAGGGGCAGGTGGACTGGGGAGGGTGCGCATGTATGTGCATACGCGGCCCTCAACAGCTCACCAAAGCTCCCTAAGTGGCCCTCCAGCCCAAGTAATTGCCCACCCCTGGTTTGGAAACATAAGTAAAGAACTACTTTGAGATAATTTAAGTACAGAAACTGCCTTAGCTGAACTACATTTATGTACTAAGGAAATAAAGTGAACTCTTAAGAGCAATATAATTTGATATTAAAGACACATGCAAAACCACCAACTATGAACTTCACTTTTAGAAAGTTTCTTTACAAACTCAGTCTCTGGAAATAAACCATGCCACAAAGCCTTTGAGAGCATTTTTATTAAGGGTAGCAGAATGGAATTGCAGAAAGCCTGTACCAATACTCTTGGGCATATAGCTTCACTAGCACGTTGTAATTTTGGGTCTTAAACTGCATGTTTAGAATGCAACTTGGCTTTGGGAACCAGACAGGACAACAGTTTGAATTCCTGAGTTAACACAGGAAAGTCTTAGTACTTTTCATTTTTCTATTCATACTTCCCATACAGTACATTGGTATTTGGTCTGCATCTTTTCCAAAGAGGGTCATCTATAAGTAAAAGCTACCATTAGTGTCACACATCTTATGGTTTAGACACTGGACTATGAAGATAGCAAGAAGAGAAATGAGGTTGATATTTTTCTTCCACTTGACCCCTAAACATTAGATTCAAATGAATGGCATGACATTGCTATAGGCTGATGTAACTTTGAACTGCAGCTCCTGGAAGTCCCCAAACTCCTCAGTTCCCTTTCAGTGATATCTAAGTGGCACTGATTCACATAAATGCAGCATTTAACCTGAGAGGTTTACAATCAGAAGGTATATTCACTACCATGTACAAACAAGGGTGACAAACAAGTGCTATAGTTTTTATAAATATAAAAGGAAAAGTTAGGGAATGGCAAATTTCCATGCCAACAGATGTGATCAATAGGAGAAACAGAACAGTGGCTCATTTAGGTATCTGATGCAGAAGTTACACACACTTCAGTTTGACAGATAATTTGGCAATTTTTTTATTATGAATGTGAGTGAGCGTGAATGAAACAAAATCAGTAGCAACTATCTGCAAATGAAGACACAAAGATGTGAAAAATTTGGTAATAGTGCTCTCACCAAGCCTGAAAACACTCAGGAAATGCAAGTTTCTGTAAATAAGGTGAACGTGGTTTAACTTTATTTATCTGCCAAAGAATCTGTCTAAGAACACTTAAACGTAGCTCCCTAACTTATAAAAAAAAAAAGTTTATCAGAGGCCCTGGGCTGTCATTCTTTATGCTAAACCTTAAAGCAGAGCAAAATAGGGTGGGTAGAAGAGAAAGGAAATATACAAGAAACAAAACTGCTTCTTTAACACACACTTGCCCTGAAACATTGCAAAGGCAGAGGCTATACTACTGCTGATTGTAGGAGTACCAACTATCCAGGTGTGAAAGGATTTACTAATGCAACTACCTGCACATCAAAACAGTACGTACTCCTAAGTGCCTAAGGATTTCTGCAGATAAATCTGCTTGTTCAACAACACAACAATTCTCACGGTTGGGAAGAGAAGGCAGTTTGATTGTATGGCAGTTTGACTGTACAGCTATGATCACGTTTTAGATCTAGGGGGAAAAGGCAGTTAAAAGAAAAGCAATTGGAAATAGTATTAAGAACAGTCCTGAACAGCAAGAGCTGCCTTTTGCATTGGGAAAGGTTCCATGCCTTCGAAAGAAAAGTCTATTTTTTGTCCAAATAAATTAGGATGATGGGATGATATTTTAAATACTCATTAAATCATCTAACTCAAGTGTGGTATATTATTTCTTACAGATATTCATGGACAGTACTAGTGAAATGTATTCTGCTTATTACAGTTTATTGCTTAATGCTATTCTCATACCATTTTTAATAAAAAGAATCATACAATAATTGGGGGAGGGGATGTCATTCTATAAAATACAAATGGTTCAGAGATGTATCCTGTGGCATCTCTAAGCCAATGATGGTGGATGTCAAGGAGGGTATGACAGAGGACAGATCACTCCAGATATACCCTGTTCATATCCTCTCCCTCTAAAGCATCCACTCCTGCTACAGGAGACAGGATACAGGGCTAGATGGACCACTGGTCTGACCCAATATGGCACTTATGTTCTTAATACATTTTGATGGAAAAATGTACTCAAATGACTAGCAATGGTGTCAAATTTAACTTTTAATTTCAAAATTAACCATTCCAAAAAGTATTTATTTTTAACTCAAAAACAGTTTATTTGGTACCTCTTGGTCCCCACGTTCTGAAACTCTTCTAAACTGGTTGCAATGTTGTTCTGTGCAATTTTTTTTCCTAGCTAGTCTGCATAGATATTAAGAAGAAAAGTGAAAGAACTTCATAATCACATTCCACTATTCGTTTGCTACAGGTACTTTCTTTGTCAAAGTTTTCCAAAAGCAGGACATAAGCCATATTTTAATTCAATCACGCACACAAAAACTTGGGTTTCCCCGTTTAATAAACATTATTGTGGTAACATCAGCCAGATTTACATAATACCTGGGCTATAGTTCTGATTGTTTTCTGGGGGCTGGTTTGTGTTTTGTTTATTATGTTACAAACTGAAGTTAAGGGGAACTTGCAACCAAGTTCCACAAAGCACAGTGCAACATTTAAACAGAAAAGTAAACAGAACTGCCAAACATTCAACCATTTTCTGCCAGGACAGGGATATTTTTTCTAAGACATCAGTGTTGGGAAAGAAAACCAAATGAAGAAGTAAATGAACTCAAGATAATGGGAACTGCAAGGAAAAGTAAGAGACGACAGCCACAACCGTAAGGGCAGGATATAAGTCTAAGATATTTTTGATAAATTCTGACAAGAAAAAGAAACAGCATACTTTAAAGTATATTGAAGCAGTGATTTTTAAACAAAGAAAGCAGAACTAGAACATCTTAAATTTTTAATCCTTTCTTTACAGGTTACCTACACCACTTTTGATTAAGAAAACTGTAGAAAGTTAGTAACAGCCACAAGTTAACACCGAAAGGTGGCACTTGTCAATTTTCCATAGAGTCCTGCTTTGCGGGGTCTGAAATGCACTGCTCCGGATCTTCTATCATACGTTGCTGACATCAACTGTCAGATTTTAGTCCACTGGTCGCTTCTCACCATATTTCTTTGTAAACTCTTCAGCATTCTTACAGAATTTTTTACGGTCCTTAGAGTATTCTTCAGCTAGGTCAGCCCGAAGAGGATGCTCGGGCTGTGGGTCATTCACCAGTGCTATGAGGGACTGGATTACTGTCAAAAGAAGTACAATGGTGTCAATGACTTGGACATTTAAGTTTAAAAAAGGCAAAGTGAGAGAGCAACACACCAAAAGTAAGAGTTTAAATTGTGTTTAAGAATGTAAATCTTTCTTAAGACACAGTGATAACCATCTTTGGCACTGCACACAGCTCAAAGTTTTAGTCTGGTAGTGAACTAACGATTCATCCTAGGAAGGAAAAACTGAAGATGCACATTAGGAAATGAACAGTCAAGTTTAATGCAGATCAAACAGCGCTACCAGTTTTCTGCCTCTGTAACTGGTACACCATTGAAGAGAGATCCCGTGCCCACTGATAGAAAAAACTAAATTACTACAAACATGCTGGTCTGAAATGAATCTAGTAACCTGGATACTTTCTTGCTTCCTTTATAAATTGCCAACACTCCTCATTATTCCGGTAGGCAACATCAAATACCTCTGCTAAAGAAGATATATTGAGCGAACAGCTTCAGAGTGGTTCTCATCCCAATATTTGTGACTAAGTTTAGGTCTTTTACAGAAGATTTAAAAAAAATCCTAGTCAGGGTCTTTCAGTGAAACTGTTCATCTTAAATCACATTAAAATGAAATTGTATTTAGCATTCAAGAAACAGACTTGGCTTAGAACAATGAAATCTAATGTTATGTTTTTCTTTACATCTCTCTGGTCATTAGAAGCTGGGTTAGTAGCCAAGGCAAAATTCCTGTCCTGTACTACATTAAGTACATTATTAAAAGATACCCTTTTTCTGGTTGTGTGTATATCTGTGATAATCAACAGAAAGAAAAGTAGATCATGCTTTCAAATTCCCTATTTAAGCCACATTTGTGTACCTCAAATAATGAACAGCATAGCTCTCACACCTTCAAAGGGAACTATTCCAAAACTTTTTTAAGCTCACGTTCCCCCTTCCCCCCCAAGTCAGCTGCCATACACGAAATGGAGGGGCTCACTAGAATATTTATAAAAATCATTTAAAGAAAGTTTCCTTCCCTCCATACAGCAGTTGGCTGATTTCCACAGGTTTTCTTTGTTTAAAGTGGGAGTAAGGAGACCCTGATAGTGCCAATGCTAATCTAATCCTGCTACTACTCTGTAGAAAATGGACAGAAATCGATTTTGTAGAAGCAGAATTTCAAAGTCCGGGATGCTAAAATACTTCAGGTAAGAGCCCAGTGCTGTACGCAACTGCATTTTGGTTACAGGATTTTTTGATGTGTGACATAACTAGCCTGAATTCTAGTTTATGAAAACATATCAGATATCACGATAAAAAATAAAAGTGAAAAAGGGACCAACAGATGTGTTACATGATTTTAAGTGTTTGGTTATGCTACATTTCCTATAATTATCTCTTCAAAAGTGCAAAATATTAATATTTAAACAGCTGATATTTTAATTCGGCATTAGGTAGGGACAAAAGTGTGCAGGAGCTTTCATAAATAGGACTAAGATAAAAAAAGCAAGTGGTTTGACCTTTGGTTTCAGACAGTCTGAGTGTCAGATACTTGCAAGAGAATACATGAAGTAGGACCAACAACAGCAGACTAAGATCACTCTATTTTTTTTAAACAGTCATTACCAAAAGGGAATGTAAATACAAGAGTGAATTAAATGCAGGTTTCTAGGATTAGGGGCCAAGATTTCTTTTTTGTTTGTTTGTAAAGTGTCTTTTTTGTTTGTATGTATAATAAACTGTCTTACAAAAATGATTTTGCTAAGTTCTGTGCTATTATTTAAACTACTGAAGCTAGTTTCAGACATTCAAATGACTGAAATAGGTCATCTCCCATGGTAAATCTGATGCTGAAGTCTCAACTGCACTGCAGGAACAACTGTTACATCACAGCTGTCTCTGCTATGATAACAATACAGCTTGCTTTTGCAGTAAAGACAAGTCCTGCATTTTAACCACATCTCCCAAATATGCTCCAGATTCCCAACATGGCTGGAGCATGGTTCAAAGAACTTGACCCTATGAGAAGATAATGTGCTTGTAACTAAGTTTTCAGGTGTTAAAACTGGCTCCGAATCAGGCTACAAAATAATACTCTCATGCAAGAATGTTGCCTTTCTGCAGTCTTTGCACAGCCCAGCTTTAAACTTGCTCAGTATTTCCCTATGCTTCTTACTCCCTTTGGCTCTGAAACAGGCTTTCTGCAGACAAGTACTGGGCTCTGCTGACTCCAGAATCATCTATGTCATTTCACACTGGACCAGAGGGTTGCTAAAAAGCAATGTCAGGTGCTTCTTCTAGTCAGAACAGCATACTGCATCCATATTATTCCCCATGCTTATCAAATGGGAGTGAGGAACATAAGCTCAAGACCAACACATGCCAAGAAGATAACCTGTCACTCTACTGTTAGGTTGGAGGATGACCTCATTTTCTTACCTTAAACTAGAGTTGCTTAAACAAACTACCAGAGGAATGCAGTGTTGACATTGGCCGACTTCCCAATTGACTTGAGCCTAGCACTTCTGAGAGCTGTCCTCATGTTAATGCTTGCATACTCAGCCAACATCAACACTGTGCTCTGCAGGCCTCCTCACACACAATAAAACGTGCAAAATGAATGACTGAAAAGAAATATTAGTAAGATAATTTGGTGTGCAAGTTTGGCACTTAAAAAGGAAATTCTCATCACAATGCTAATTCAGACAAAATGCATGGCCACAATGCACATTTTTAAGAACAGAATGCTGTTGTAGCTATGTACCGTTTTAATAAATAGCTGAACAAAAAAAAATGTACAGCACAGCTTCTGAGACTTAGGTATTAAAAAACCTTCAATTTTTTTTAATTTGGTGGAGTTGGATCATAAAATGATCCAATAATTATACACCTCTTGAACAGGTAAAAACATTTCCCTAAATTGTTCTTTGGGCTAAGTTCAAGCACACTTTCTGTAGGTTATGAACACAGAAGTGGAAAGGGGAAGTTGAAATTCATATGCAATCTTAACAATAGTATGTGTTACTGCCAGGACAGTTCAAAGCACAAAAATGAAAGTAGAAGGCTGGAAGAAAGTACATTTATGGTCACAGACACATATGCAAGCTTTGTCTCCTACAGAAAAAATGTCTTTAGTCACAAATACTTTTAGAGCAGAAAGGACCATTACAAATTTGAATTTTCAATATTAAAAGCATACCACACAAAACCCAAAGTGCCCTAACAATAATTACTCTTACAACAGCCACCTAGCAACATGAAGTAACAGCCAACATTATCAAACAGAGATACAGTCTCAGCTTAATAATTTATGGAAACAAAGGCCTTCCACCCTAACTTGCTCCTCAAAGAACATTATCAGATACTACTCCTTAAAATGTTTCGAGTTTTATCTAAGAGACCTCCACATGGGAAGCCCTATAGTACTAAATTTATCCATCTTCTAAGGATTAAGAGCCAAGCCAAGCCAAGTAATCTTCGCTAGAGTGAGAAGTAGTAAGTTCTCTGATGTCTAGGCATTTTAAATCCGATGTTCTGATCACTAAATCAAGCCTCCAGGATGAAAGCATTACACTACACACAGCCTTAAGGCCTGCTGTTATCTGTGCAGACCTTTTCTTTTAAAAATTATACTGAAAACCTCAAAACTGTACCAGTGCAGTAAAATACATGTAATTTCTGTCTACCAAGGACACTGGCCTAAGTTAATGAGTTCAACAGAATTGTTTTGATATTCTGAACTGAAGATCCAGAAGAACTCTTTAACAGGAGTGAGAGAGTAGTCCATTGCGCAAAAGCAAACCTACACAGGAACAGTAGCACTTACACAATAAAGTCAAGCTTTTATTGATCTATAATAGAAACACAATTTCTTAAGTTCCTCCTACACACTGAGCCTTACCTTGGTCAGTTTTGGTTGCTGGCTTCCAGTTTTCAGCACTAATTACTGGCAGACAAACCTGCCCCTTTTCATCAATGTTCGGGTGATAGATCTTTGTTTTAAATGTAATCTTAGGAGGTTTGAATGGATACTCTGCTGGAAAGTTGATTTCAATTCTGAAGGCTCCCTTATCATATGGAGGATTGTCCTGCAATGAGAATGTGGAATGTACGGATCAGACACATCAGAAGAGATACAGTTTAAGAGACCATGTGCTACAGACTTCCATCTTTCAAATGGTCCCTACTTAAGACACACTTTTTTGGTTTAATCTAGTTCATTTATGTGCCAGATGCCATCAAAATCACAATATTCTTTTGCAGAGGGTCCAACAGAGTTCTGACACTATTTGAGTGGTGGAGGCAGCCTTCTACTCCATGGTACTCCAGATTTCTCAAATCCTACCTTGCAAAATTTGCTGACAACCTATTTCAAAACAAAGTTTTTCAAGTCTTTTCTGAGCTACCAATTTTCTTCCTTGTCTTCTGTTTCTCCCTCTAATCCTATTTATTTCATGTGTCTCAGTATGGTGGAACAGAAGGAAAAGCAATTTGACTTGTCAGATTTCCCTATATGTTCTGAGAGAGTCTTTTTGCTTTAGCTGACTGCATAAAAATTTGCTGAGTGCTCACTTGTACTAAAGATAGATATTCACTGCATCTGCTGATGAGAACACTCTGAATTTGTATGCAGTTTTGGGTACCTCTTATCAGATCATTTTTGAAGGAGTATGGCAAGAAGGCTATGAAGTAGACAGAATGATTCTTCATTGCCCTGTTCAGTTTCAGCATGGTCAGAGTCTGATAACAAGTGCTGCTAAAGACCCCGTACTCCTAGTTTAAAAAGTTTTTCAATTATTTTATAAGAAATCCTGAATAAAATCAGCTATTTCAAACTTTCAAAGTTTAGCAAAATTTAACTTTTGGACCACAAGCAATAATTATGGCATGATGATTGCTCAGGATGTTGAAGATGGGGAGAAACAGTTGCTAAAAGCAAATTTTCAAGTATAATTTAACTCCCTTGCCTAACAACCCATTTCTTTCAACTAAACCCATTTTATGAGCTAAAAACAAGTTATCTAATATTAGTAACTTTAGGAAGAGAACAACGTTCTGCAGGTAGATGAAGATGGCATTAAGCATAATCAGGAAAGATTCCATACCGCACCTCTAAGAGACAGCACAGAAGTTACAATCCAGGGGAGGGATGGTTATGATGGTACCAGATCTTACACTGACCTGGCATAATTTAGCTAGCTGTGGAATCCTGTGTTTCAGCAACCTCCACAAACTGCCTTACAGGCTTGTAGAGTAGTTGGAATCTCTGCCCTGCCTCTTGTGTCCAAGTCTTGGCTCTGGTCAATCTGCAAGCAGGGCTTCCAAGGTAGTGCCACAGCTGTTTCACAGTATTCATGTGCAGGATATTGGCCCTTGGCCAGATTCAGGGTTTTAGAACCACTCTATCCGCTTTATGGAACATGAAGGAACCAGGAGGTGGGATAAGGGTTTTACTTATGAAGCTCAACTAAAGGTTGCACGTTAAGGGCTGCTCATGATTTTAAAAGGATCTGTGTAAACACCGCTTAGTTTCAGTCATTCCTGTTACTTACAGCATATGTAATTCTAAAGAATAAGGCAGATTCAATGTATTGCATACCAATAAATTACTTTTACAAGGGCACATGGAACCTAGGATAGTTGCTCTTACATGGCAGTCAGTGAAAATACATACATAAAGCATTGTAGGTTCAGTGACATCCATACATTTCTTTAGGTACAGTATATGAACTCATCTTATTCCAGTAAGTTATAACTGGACGGCAATTAAGGAAAAAAAAGATGACAAATCTATGTGCAGGCAGATACTTCAAAGATAAGAAGCTGTCTCTGACTTGCTTCTCAGCTCAGTGACTGTTTATTCATGTAACAACATTCTTTTAATGGACAAAACACCCTTTATACCCAGAAGGCCAAGCCACTTTTGGAACCACATCCTCCACAAAAACCTTCTATGAGCATCACACAATCTCACTTAGTAAGCTGTCTACTCCACATGCCTTCCTAATACACAATTGTACATCAACCATCATAGTTTTAAAATCTTGGGGAGAGGCTGGCCAATACAGATTAATTGTAAAAACTGACGATCACTAGTTAACTAAGCCTAGTCAATACATTATAATTTCCTGTTTGAGTTTGAAAACATCCTGAAACAAATACCCCCAATATTTCAAAAACAAAAACCCCTTCCATCTGTAGCCAGCTTATGTCCACCAACTTGTATCTTTAAAAAAAAAATCTAATTCAGCATGATAGCTGTATTTTAGACCATTCTATATCAGTTAAGGAAAGGCAAATGTTATCAATTATGTCCACCTTCAAATTAATGACCCAATTTTTTTTTTACATGCATAAAAAAAACCTCTTTAGATCTTTAATAGCTAGATGTAGGCAGATTTAGAAACAAGTGCAGATTTAGGGACAAAACACTGATTTTAAAATCACTTCCTCTTAACCAAGCCAACATACAATTTCTAGGCTGTGCTTTTTCTGCAAAAGCCCACAACAAAAATTGAAAATCATTTATAGCTCAGTGCAGTGATGGTTTTGGTGCGTATGATGGGACCTTGCAAGAGGAATGAACATAAAGCTTAAGAATTAAGAAGCAAACACCATGCTTAACATAGATAACAAAATATAGTGTTAAGGCAATACAGGTAATATTTAAGAGCACAAACAGTTTGGGGTTTTTTCCTGTTTTGTCAGGAAGTTGATCACCACAAATATTTTCTTTACAACGAAAAGCATTTTATTGGCATTTTCACTGGTTTGGAATATTACAGTAAACTGCTATAAACAAGAACCATGAATTCCAGTGGTTTATAAAATATGTCGCCAAGTAAAAATCTCTTTCCTTAAATTCCAGTGTAACAGCCTACTCACTTCATTCATGAGAGAAGTCTTATTAAGTCTAAAAGATTGCTTCGATGAGTAAGGGGTGGAGAGAGAGTTAACTGTAAATCTTTTGTTCCACAGTACTTAAAATCCAAAGGATCAGCAAGTATTTTGTTGCAGCATGAATGATCTAAGTTAAGGAGCAGCCTTCAGTTAGCAACACAGAAGCACTACAGAGCTGAGGTTCAAAGTCTCTGATATAAAAATGCAGATTATATTGCTCTCTATGTTTTCTGTAGTGGCCAGCGAAGAGAGCATTGACATCCTTCGTTGCCTCAGACGTCACTTGTTGTTCATGAAGGAATTTAATACAAGACATGGCAGATGAAAACACCCAATATAAAGGTGAAAATCCAAATTCCTTCAACCAGATAAGCTTATAAACTCAACTCCTCCCTTACCTTTCCTAACAAGTCCCCCTCTATTTGACCAATACAGTAGTAGCTTACTTTACAGCTGCCTAGTAACATTTCTCTAAAAAAATAAAATAAAGTTAGGACCCAAGATTCTTAAACTGGATGCTAAAGTTTGGCACCTAAATCCTTATACCTGTATGTAAATAAGTGGTTTAACTTTCAGAAGTATTGAGGTTTTCCAAAAGTCTGTAGAGTTTAATTTTAAACAACCCAATTCTAAAAAGTCCTGCCCTTCATTTTTTAATTGTTTAATTTAAAATAATTCCTCTAAACAGACCAATAGTGAGAAGAGATTTTAAAAAGGCCTATCAAACAGCAGTTGTGTTTCCCACATACACTCCACATATTTCTATTCTTTTATTTCCTTATTACTGGGCACATCTACCTGAGATGCTTCATGTGCAGAAGACTCATTTTACTCTGCGTTAGTGCAGCGAGCAAAGTCCATGCTAACGCACTCATGTACAGCAGATTTAGTCTAACGCGCAGCAGCGTCACTAAAAGACCATTCATCTGTACTAATGCGCAATGGGCACATTTACACATTGCCCTATGGCGACATAATGATGTGCTATGTCACCATATGGTGCGCTACAGTGACATAACGATCACATGGGTCTACACATGATCACCTGCTACCTTGTCGTAGCAGCTCGCCCCCCGCTTATAATGTGCCACTAGGGTGACATAGAGGGGAATCTAAGCATGCACTGCCTATACTGTGTTGTGCTTTACTGCTACCAAAAGGTATAATTTCCTTACTAGGGACTCAAATTACTATTATATTACTACAGCCCACCCCATTCTTAAGACGTATGAATTTGGGCCTATCTTAGAATAGCATCAGACCTAGACTAGCAAAGCCATTATTAAAAGCACAGTTTTAAAACAGTTCCTGTTAATATGGTTTATACAAATGTCTGGCTATAATGGTAGAAGCATACCGACTTAATATACTTATTACAAAGTAACAATGGCCAGAGAAAACAGGTCTAAATCAACATAGCATGCATTATTTTTAACTCTTTAATGGATTCAATAACATAATCAAGTTGTTAGTTGGGACACTACCTTAGAGCTCTTGTATCTTGTATAGTACAGCCGTTTTAAAAACACTTCCCTCTTTTTCTGTTACAGTAACGCAGGAATTAAAACTACTTACACGATGGTAATCTTTAAGGTGGGATAAAGTGGAAAAATAAGATGTTTTTATCTTTAGGTACAAGCCAAGTGAGTATTAAGCAATTTAACTGCTACAAATCACTTCGCATTTGTTTTACTGTCCATACAGCTTTAAAAGGAAAAAAAAACAACAACCCTCATTTAAAACGTTTTATGCCTTTGAAAACAAGTAACGGGTTTGAGTAATATTTACAAAAGCACTCATGCGTCTCTGGAAAAAAAAAATGAAGCGGATGTCAGCTTTTTTGAAAGTATTACCCTTTAACTCCCTCCAGCCCCAATTGCAGAATCTATACATCCAAATTGTCTTCTAAATTTAATTAGAGAAATGTACCTGTAAATAGGAATACCAAAACAAAGGATCCATAACATAGTTTTTTAGTAGCAGGATAGCATATTAGCTATACACTTTCATTTATTTTTAGAGAAAATTCTTGTTTAAAAACCCATTGTAACATTGGGACAACAACACACCAGTATTTGGTTACTGCAATGTTTAGATAAATGATTTAATAACTAAGTTAACAAAAATCAGGGTAATTTATTTAAGATGCAAAGCCTCAATACATTAGAAAAAATGCTGAACAACATAACAATGTATTAAGGCTGCAATGCTGTTTGTGTAGAGTCAGTAGAAAGGCCAAACTGAAAAAGTTGCTAGAGAAAAACTTGAAAAATTATGTGGCAGCCCTCACAGCAGTCTTGGAATCAACTCTCATGTATCTTTGGATTTACTTTCACATCACAGATCTGAGGAGGGAGAGTAGTATTATATTTAAAAACAGTATGGCAGAAATAAAATATAAGAAAAAGAAAGACTAAACAATGTGCCCAAGAGTAAAGAGAAAGTTTGTGATACAGCTATTACTAAATCCAGAATCCCTGCATTCTACTTCAGGAAGTGAGGGACCAAACCAGGCTTCCTTTTCAGAGGCTTTTAAAATGTCCATATAAAATCTATAGAGTAAACAACTGGCAGCTGTTGTCTGCGCAACCATGGTTTGGGTCTTCTTTTCTTCCACTACAAGAGATATAACCACAGTGTGAAATTTTTAATTCATCAAAGCAATCACAGCCTGTTTGTCAAGCCGCAACTATTACATAATGGCCATCTAAAGCACAGATTTGTAAGAGGTCTTTTCCAATGGAAGTCATCCCCAGATGCACAAGGTCCAGCAGGGTATCATATATAAAGCATTTTATACTCACAGGAACAATAAGCCCTTGCCAAGTCAATAAATTAGCTTCATCAACCTGGATATTACGGAAGTTTTTCATCCCACATTTGCGGATTTCTTCAAGCTCCTGAAAAGCAACAAAGCATAAGTGTACATTAATAACAGTAACCAATGGCATATTTATTTTTCAAGAAACTTGGAGGTCGAAGTGAGTTCCTTTAACACTAAATGAGTTTGTGGTTTCAGAAGTGGCAACCCACATAATAAAACCAAATGGGACTTCTGCACCTATAATGAATCAATTATCTAAGCCAAGCAAGCAAACTCTTTACTTATGGAAATAAATAACATTCCATGAGGATACAAAAGAAGATACAAGAGAAGTCAGCTAAATAGCTACTTTGTTATGTTATTATTTTATTTAGACTGATCTGCATGTCTGATACCAAGAAAGCTCATTCTCCTACAATGATTCTGGAACAGGGAATCCTTTGTCAACTTATGGAAGTAAAGCAAGTCTTGGGATTTGTTAACACTGGCAAGATGCACACTGGTTAACTAAAGGTGTTTGGTTTTAAACCTATTTAAACTGGTAAAACCACAATGATTTCAGTCAAAGATGGGCAGATTTCAGTGCAACTTAAATCAGTTATGCTAAATTAAACTCCCATCCAAATTTGCACTAGTTGAACTAAATCAGTTTAAAATCCAACGTCTGCTAAATCAGGGAAAATTCATATAAGCAAGGCTTTATTTTTCATCTCCAGCCTTAATTTAGATTTAGTAAAAACACAACTACACAGATTTTAACAAGATTATAATTTTTGAAGTTGTGTTAACTAAAAAACAATATTTTCTACTCGAAAAGCAATCTTTCTGAATAAATTAAGGGGTTTGTTTATTTTTCAGTGAAAAAGCAGCCAATGGCATATTGACATGCTATTTAAGGACAGCTCCATAGTATGTTATTTTAGATCTAGGAAACAAACATAAAAATGCCCATTTTCCTACAAATAAATTATTTTACCCTTAAGAACATTAACAGATTCCTTTTTTTGAACAACTGGAACAAAAGTGATCTTCTAAACATGGACTCAGAAGATAATCCCTGTGAAACCAAAGGCTACTCTCATTCTCTCAAAGCTGATGCGTGAAAGAGGCTGCATCTATTCTAAGGGCTTCTTAACAACACAGGAATACAGGCATATTACCATGATAAACACTGCTAGTGGTGACACAACTATAGTGACAAATCTAGACTTTGTACCATTACAGTAAAATCACTGACCACAAGCAAAACAGTAAGAGCACAGTTCTACCAATAGAGCAGCTTCTATAGTAGGGTCTTCTGCCATCCCAGTTATGACAGTTAGGGATCACACCTCCTCCCACCCTGACTGATAAGCATAGGAAAAGTCATATGTAAGTAACATGCCCACTAGAACCTTTAAGACAACCAAAATGAACAAAAGGCACAGCTAAGGGGCATGCCCAGAGCACAGGGTTCAATTGTGGTGTCCTTGACTCAGGGTTTACACTTGATATCATCTCCAGAAATGACTGGAGAACCTGGTGCAGCGATTCTTGATGTTCTACTGCCACTAGTTATATCCCAATTTGATCATTACAGAAACAGTTTAATTTGGTCCTACTGACCAGATTCAGACCATGGAGCTTCTCAGACGCTGGACAACCCACCTCTAGTATCAGACACGATACAGCTCCAGAACCCAGGGGGTGAATTCCACTCCTCCTCACCCCCACCCCTTTCTCCTGCTGCTGATATTTGTAACCAATGGCAACCAAAGACCCCAAATTCAGAACAGTCAAGAGGACAAGTGGCAGCAGTGTTTACACTCTAGGTTTTCTGAGCTGCACTGATAAGCTCTGCAGGCTACAGTTTAATTACTCATGGGCTACGTGCAGCCCTCCTTTAGAGCATGGAGCCATAAAGAAGTCCTGAGTCACATTTATAGAGATACACTATAGACCAAGATACTCAGTGGAAGATGACCCTTATTAGCTTATGTTCAGTGAAACTAAGAGTCTAGTACAAAGTTTGACACTTGGTTTTGTATATTTGTATGCTGAATGTACCTTTGGCTTTTGAATACAGAAGACTGATGTTTTTCTGAGGGGCTCAGGAAGGTATGTAATTAATTCAGCTTAGTGCTTTCAGCTGTCACACCGCTGGGTATATAGAACACAAAGCTACCCTTTTTCATGACCACAAATTTAACAATAAACCTCATTCTGAACCAAAAATAACTTTTGGGCATCATAAGCAGGAAAAGTTATAGAGAGAGATTACCCAGTACACATTTAACCAAATTCTAATTAAGGGTGACCAGGACCTCTCTCCCAAAAAAACATGAATGGGGAAATACTTTATTTTAGATGCTGTCTGGTTGTGGCATGTAATTATATAAAATTCATGTCACAGCATCCCCCGCTTCAACTGAATGTAGTGTTGTACACACACAGAGAAATACATGATCCATATTAGGGGTGGGCAAAATATGGCCCGCAGGCTGGATCCAGCCCACAGCTGCCCCCCATGGCACTCCGCATAGGGTCAAGCCCTACCAGCGGCAGCCCGAACCATGCTCTCAGCCGCATTTGTTCTGCGCCTGCTGACTGCACTGCCACTGCCCTGGCTCCAGCCCTGACCAGCTTCCTGGCAGGGCTGCTCCTGCTGCTGCCACCCAGGTACTGCTCAGTTCCTGCTTCCAGCAGCTCCTCCTCCTCCTGCACCATTCTGGGCAGCAGGTAGCATGAGGAAGAGGCAGTAGCCACAGAGGCAGATGCTGGGCACCACACACCCAGCAAGGCAGGGGTAAGCTGCACCTGCGTGGCTCCTACCTCAGCACATGGGGGTCCAGCTCCAGCTCCCAGGTGTTTTCCATCTACTTGGACGCCTGCAGGCATGCATGCTGACTGGGGTCAGGGTGGCACCGTTAGCAGGCATGGGGCCAATGCAGGTGGGAATGTGGTAAAGGGTAACCTGGGCAGGAATGAGCAGGGATGCAGAGCACCATGAGCTGTGGGGGG